CATCTGATCAGTAAAATACCTTCAATTATATATCCGAAGTATCAAAAAAATATGATAACTTCCGTGTTCTATGAAAAAACATTAACATTATTTCTACATCCTCTATAATAAACTAATTTCATTGTCATCTAACAGAGTCTTCCCATTGTTAACATATCTGCGCTATTCTTTTTATATCTTTCTCTCGCTATCTCAGCTGCTATTCTAGGGTACCTAATCACTTATAGTGAAAACAATTGATTTTTGAATTGACTGTTTTTACCTTCGTTCACCTTTCACCCCCTTTCGCAATCATTTCTTACACTCTTGTGCCAAGTGTTTCCAATAATACTTTTTAACCATTTCATTTCTACAGCTATATGTTAACTTTATCAAACCTTTAAACATTTTTCTCCACACAATAAAATTATTATGAGAACTTTGTTGTATAATTTTAGATTTTATAAATAATTATAAATAATAACTATAGTTTTGTAGCTTAGTTTTTCATGTACACTTATCCGCAATGGTGTCTAGAGATTGTTAACGTTAGGGTTGAACAATATGAAGCTCTTAACAGATGTTAACATCTCTAACATCTCTTAACATCTCTATAATACGATGTTATATATAATAATATATAATAATACATCTATAACACACCCATCCAACACTAAGGAATTTCACTATATATATATTAGCTAATATTTGGACATAGCTTCCACCTTGAGAGAGAGCAAGTGTTATCTAACACGTCTTCACAACTTCACATCGAATAAAAATAAATTAATAAATTAATACATTACACTCATGTAAATTTTAGTTTATTCTCCGATTTATTGTTACTTACCTTCAAAAATAGCAAAAACACTTCTTTTACATTCTAAAATAGTCCTTTAAAACACTAGAAAAGTTAAGGATTTAATAGATCCCTGTGTTTGGGTCTGCATATTTTATGCTGCAGTTAATTATTTTAACACATTCTTCCAAAAAATAAAGTATTTTTAAAACAAAACATTATATTATTACATACATTAAATAATTTTTAATTACTTTCTAATAATAAAAATAAAAATTTTCATTGAAAGTATGTTTTCGAGATAGTAACTTAGTTTTACTAAACATAAACAAAAACAAACATCATTAACTAAAAGTAACTAAAATTTTAATTAGAAACTTCAAGTAAGTCCTAAAACCTTGAAAAAAATGCTCAAACGAAAGCACTTTTCTGTTTAAATAAGACAATAAAACACTAATTGCAGTTAAGTAAAATCAATCAAATAATATGTCATTTGTTAAGAGATAAATAGGAGCCTCAACACAACTCTACTGTGTGAGCCCAGCCAAGCTTAATTGAAACCAAACAAAGAAAATTGTGGGTCTGTAAAAAAAGTTTTTCAATCAATGCAGCACAAGTCATAAAAGTGCTACTGTGTGCTGCGCAAAGCACTAAACTTACACTAAATAGAAAAACGCCCGCTCACACAAGCACCAAAACAAACAGAATAGAACAGCCAAATACACTGGATGATGTTGAAAATCCATGCAAAAGCCAATGCAATTAAGCCAGCCTCTGCTCCCAGCAAAGTACAAAAAGTGAACTATAGAAAGACTTAAGAAAAGAACTCGATTTCAGTTAAGACGTAGTAAAAAGTTGTAATGCAGCTCGTAAAATCATAAACGAAAAAAGTTAAGAAACACAGCAAAAAAATAACAAAGGTTGCAGGTATAACCAACACTTTTAACAGTAAATCCCATAAATAATTTCGAACCTTTACATTTGACATTAGTGTAGAAAGAAGTTTGGGGAACGCTGCAGTGCATAAAAGGTACCCTTACCGTAGCTTGATGCAAGCTTACTGTGCTTGTCAAAGTGGAGTACAGCTGCAAGCACAGCAACAACAACAGCAACAATAGCAGCAACAACAACAACAGAACAATAAAGAAGAAAAGTTAACTTAGAGACGAAAGCTTGTGCCCAACAACAACAACACACAAAACTAATAACTAAAACTAAAAAGTTCAGTCAGAAACCAGTTTTCTGCTTTGATAGAACATACTTATAAGAACCTTTTGATGCTGACTGAATTTGTTGGAGTTGCAGTGTTGTTTTGCAACTGCGCAGCAGCAGCAGCAGCAGCAGCAGCGCTATGAACAAAGCACGAAAAAAACCTTATGTATATAAAAAAGAGATAAAAAACAAAAAACAAATGCTGCTTACTTGTTATTATTAGTGGAAGTTGCTACTGTGCACTTTTACGATCCTCGTGGCATGCTTGTGCATACATAAGCCCACTACAATGTAACCAAAACTATTGAAGTACTCACGTTTTTTGCTGCTGCTTCTTATGTTTTGCACGTTGCCTCTATTGCTGAATGCCTGGGCATAGATGAGTTGAACTTCATCAGCTAAAACAGGCAGCATCAGCGATCATTGTCAATGTCGTTTTTGTTTTTTTTTGTTGTATGTACAAGCCAACGTAAATCTTAGACACTTCTTTGTGAGTATATATATTGATGTGCTATATATACATATATGTGTGTTTGTAGTGTTTCAAATGGTTGAACAGACTTGACCAAATGTAGCTTTACGATTATCAAAACAGCTTAAACCTCACTTATGCTTCGCTGCATAAAAGCAAAACTAAAAAAAATTGGACAATAATAACAGTGGCGGATCTTATAACGGCGAAGGTGGAGGAGAAATGTCTATAAAGTATTAATGTTTAATATAAAAACGTTTAATGTAGAAATAGTCTATGTAAAAAGTGCTATGACTGGGTCTTGGGTTTTTATTTTTCTTTATTTTTACTTCCTATTTACTTGGCTCTTTGGGTTTTTATTATTTTAGTCGTTATTTCTTAATGCCATTCTTTATTTATTTTTTTCGTGCTGTCGGTGTTTTACTTTGGTTGCACGTTTTTCAGACTTCAATTTTTTTAGTGTTATTAGCTGGTAATTTGGTGGCTTCTAATTTTCTTCTTTCTGTTTTTAGTGCGTACGTTTTTATTAAATAACGAGTATATATGTAGATAGTTAAGTATTATCCTTATGTGTGACTGAACTAAAGAGGTTTACATAAGTAATATTAGTTACATTAAAAATTATTGAAAATTTGTAATACTATTTAAATTTTTCATTGATTCGTTACATTGTCTAAAACTATTTAAGCTTATAATCGAAGCTTCAAAATGATCAAAACTAATTAAGCCCATTTTATTATGATGACAATTCTAACGTTCAGAATAATTACTTAAGTTTACGATGTCAAATTATTTTTTTTAAAAGCAAATTGAACCTTTACATTTGACATTACTGTAGAAGCAAGTCTCTCGAATGCACATATGTTGCTTCTCAGTCCATTGTCTATACTTTTAATCCTACCAAAAATCTAACATCGAATTAATCTAAGATTAATTAATCTAACAAAAGATAATTATCTTTTGATTGAAGTTAGTTAGATAAAAGTTAACTCAATATTCCATTTGTGCTTTTCATGGGCGATTTGCAGGGAATTTCTTAGATTTAATCGTGTACGAAAAGAAGTATTATACTTGTTCATTTTAAGACTACTGATTTCGAATAATTTAATTCGGATTGATTCTCGGTAATCAGTAAGCTGATATAAGCTACGAAGTCCGAAAGCATAAGTTGGTTTAAAAGTCGGCTTGTTGATTTCTCTCATGTGCGGAACAACATTATAGCTGAAATTTGGTTCTAGCTTTATGCCGATCAGTATACGATCACTACTTCCGATTCTTGTTTGTACACCATTTGGTGCTAAGGTAGTTAGATAGTCATTTTAATAATGGAGCTGAATGGTATTGAATCGATTTATACAGATACTATACATAGTCTAGGATCTCTTTACTATGCGTTATAATCGAAATACATTTGTTCGTTTCAAACAGTTTTTTTACAGACGGAATCCTGAATACCAGTTTTGTTACATATAATTGCAATATGCTTCTTTTAAAGCTACAGTCTATAGACCAGAATTGGATAAATGCGGTACTGTTGCTTGCATGAGATTTTAGTGCCAATAATTAATATTTGCAAAAATCAAAGATATAAAAATAAAAGATGTGTTTGTCATGGTTTCTGGAAAGATAAAATTCACAATAAAAAAGATCTTTAACCTAATTCATTTTTGAAACTGATCATAAATTTTTAATATATAATAATTAAATTTTATTATTAAGAGCATTTGTGTTATTAGTGCCTCAAACAGTAAATCCACTATTGTTTTATTGCGTCGCACCAATGGACAAAATCCAAGGTACTTACTGTCCGTCACAGCATGATTCATTTGTCGTGCTGAGTGTTTCTGTGCCTTGCTGCACACTCAGACAGACAGATATCAAGACTGATTGCTCTTGGGCTTTGGCCTGGCAGTTGCTTGTTCATTTTTAGGTTGCTAGAATTGTCAATGCAGTCAATATCTGCAAATGACAGTAGTAAGAAGTGATTGTTTCCTTACCTATACGACTACAAATGTTTGAGCAACTGCAGTGATACGTAAATATTAATAAAATGCATTCAAACATTAAAAAACTGCAGAACAATAGCGGCAAATGCACATTTTGCATTCGAGCCCA